CATCAGGAGCTCGGCAAGAGGATTTTACAGAGAAAATACAGAAGCAAAGCAAGGAAATGACTGATCGGCTACGGCTTACAGCCTAGTTGGCTGTTTGTGATCGGTTTCCCTTAGATTTCAATTTTGCAACCTTGAGGCATTTCCTGGCTTAGGTTTTGGTTTGCTTATGTAGGACACACAGCACCAGGGCCACCTCAGTCTAATGGCTTCCTGTTGCTTTAGCTAAGAGGCTTGTTAATTTCTTGTATTTGCTACGCTGCCAGAGGTGTCAATTCAGGTACAGCAGGAGGTGTTTGCTGTGGGCACAGACTCTTCCCTGTTCAGCCGACAAGTAAGCTACAGTAATTCTGTCTAAAACTATCTTACCAAGAAAGCCGAGGGACTTTCGTTGTGTAGCTCTGGCCTTAGCAAGATTCAGCAATAGTTGCCAGAGTTAAGGAGCACTGTCTTCCCGTGCATTAATGGAGAGAAAAGAGCAAGGAGTGAAGGCAAAAGGAATAAAGGTTTCAAATAGGAGATGAAGATAATGATCTGTGCTTTCCAGAAAGCTGTCCACCTCAAGATGTTACCTGCTTCTAGGCAGGAACCTCCCTAGCCAAATTTAATTTTAGGTCTCCAATTGTGTGCAGTTCCAAGAGTCTGCGAGAGACCTTTTAAACAGGGAGAAATGAACCCAAGGTTTAAGGCCCTGAAGTTTGGCTGCTGACCTGGTATGGGCTCTTCTAAGGAGGTTCAAGGGCAGCCTCTGTTCTTAGTGATTTCAGATCAGAAGGGTGGGAGACAGTTGGACATCTTGGTTTGGAGAGTAGTCAGGTGTTTGAGAAAATCAGAAGAATTCACGATAAAGTCTGGTTTACAGGCATACAGCAAAACCTCAAAGACAATGGAAAGAACTAGAATCTGATTCCACACGGTTGTATTACAGTTTTCTATTGAAACATAGTTTTTCTCTCTACAATCACCCTCATTTCTATCAAAGATAATCATAGTAAGACTAATTTGTTTGCAAAGTAAATCTAGTCTCATTAAACTTGGCCTGATTGTTTACACAGATGCAGTAAGAACAGACATTGAACTATATATAGGCTCTTTTAAAATCTGCTTTGTTAGAACTTTTCATAAGGAATCTGAGATTGAATTTTTAAAGGCTCCCCAGACTAAAAAGCCAAGTCAAGGATTTGTTACCACACTTCACCTGGAATACCTATAGGCTTGGGTGACTTCCTCTCTTCTCAAGATCCCCAAGACAGCATGAAGTTCCTGGGCCTGCCACGAAGTGATCTTCCTTACTCACCGGGTAAGGCTTCTGGGAACCCTGTAAACAAGATATCAGGACAGTTTTTCTAAGGAGCTTTATTTCCTCCATAAAGTTTTTAGTTCCTTAAAACTGGTCATAACTGACTTTATGCACATTCTCAAATATGACATTCCAGTCAAAGCCTTGGTAATATAACACAGTGTTTCCAACTGTGTCCTGTTATAAGGACATATTCTCACTAGGCTTATGTAAATCACTATTTTGCCATGAAAATAAGAATACACAAATTTCCAAATTCTGGAGGGATCAGACAGGGGAAAAAAGTAAATATTTCACTTTCATTTACAAAGGTATACTTTACCAAATTGCCTTAAGTCATAAAAGAGAGAAAATTTTCCTTAAATCTGGAAAACAAAACATTAAGGAATTAGTAAATTTTCAAATAAAAAGTTGTAAAAAAGTATAATCATCCTCATCATTTCATTTAATCTCTTGTTATTAATTCTTGTTCAGCTTGAATCCATTTTTTTCCTTAGCTCTGGAAATTCTCACCTAGTTCACTTTTATGATCTTGAACTTATCAGAAACCTGTTTTCTAGAGTACTTGTCAGAGTCCTTTCCATGAATCTCTCTAAAGACAAAGCACTTCTGTGAAAGCATCAGAGTAAAACAATAACTCTCTGAAAATTATAAAAAGACTTAAAAATCCTTCCAAACCTTTCTTTACCCACAAAACACATTCTACTTTCCTTCCTACTTTTCACACACAGTTGTTTTCTTTCACCTTTGTATTTCTAAGTAGGTTGTAATTACATATGATTGGAATTCTCAACCCTTAGAATCTTTAGCTTCTAGTGAAAACTAAGAAGTAAGCCACTGTGGACTGCCTGTTACACTAGTATTCTGCGGACACTGGCACATTTATAAATGTATTTCATAACTTCTAGAAGTATATTCTTCCTTATAGTAAATTTTTCAATGTGGCACAAAACATGTTTAACAATAAGCTCAAATATCTTTAGTTCCTCTGTGATAAGAAGCCAAAAATAGATAAATTTGGTTCAATATTTAATCTTATTTGGAAATAACCTAGATAGTCAATGAACATGTGTCATCTAACTTAGCTTAGCATAACTTTCACCTAGTTTCCAAATAGTCCCACATACCCTTTTGTTTTAGTCCTTCTAGTAAGAATCACCGTGCTGAAGTCTGCATTTCAAAGAAATGGCTCTGGGGTCCTAGAACACTTGAGATGTAGAACACTTACATCTCAAAGTTCAAAGGCACAGAGAAAGGATGTCATTTCCACCAAGAGGACTCTATTCCCTAAATCCAGATGTTTTACAATATCTGCAACCCTCTGAGATGAATAGAGGAGGTTTTGAGATTGGTAAAAAGGCTAGATGGACTTTGAATTATTTCTAGAACTGCATTTCTATTCTTGTCAAGACTTGATTTGTGGACAAGTACAGTTGTTAATTATTTCTAGAACTGCATTTCTATTCTTGTCAAGACTTGATTTGTGGACAAGTACAGTTGTTTTGAATCGAGGTTTCAAATAGGAGAGGAAGATCCCGATCCAGGATCTCAGGAAAGCTGTCCACCTCAAGATGCTATCTGCTTCTGGGGAGGAACATTCAGAGCCAATTTTAATTTTAGGTCTTGACATCAAGAAGTCAAATGGACCCACCCATCCAACTATATTATCTTCAACTTGTTTCCTTATGTCAGGGAAATTTCCAACTAAGATGGAAATTAACAGATTCCTATGTTCCAGATTTAGAGCTGTGAGTCTTTGGAACGTTTTAGCAAATCCTTCCACAGAGGCTTTAGAGTGTTTTTCTTTCCCTCTGGGTACATAATTTCATTTCAGCTTAGGGGAGAAGGCCTAAAAAAAAAAAAAAAAAAAAACTCCTACCAGGCTCTCAATACCAGCTTCCAAAATGGCCAACTTTTAACCACAAAGCTCACCAAAAAAAATCCTTTGAAATATCTTATTCACATGTTTTAGGTGGGACAAAGAGTAACTATACCTGGCAGTTGAACTTTTCTTTTTCTTTTACTTTTCAAAGGTATCTCTATCAAATAACTCAAAACCAAAACCGAGGCTTAAACATGGATGTAAGAGGCATCCCCAAGGAAGCTGAAAAAGATACAATCCCTGCATCCCCATGATCCAGAGCACCTCCCAAAGATAACCAAAGACTTAAGACAACTCCCCTGACAGTGGGCGACAGTTGGTAGAACACTAGCCACAAACACGGAGCAACCCACATTTCAGTCCAGCCATATTTTGGGGGCCCCCAACCTGACAGTTGGGCTGCCTATGCACATAAGAACTGCCAACCTGCATGCCCTGATGGGCAGAAAGCCAAGCCAATTTCTCACGACACAAAACAAGATAAATGAGAAAGCCATAGCGGTCCCTGGGAGGGAAAGGATCCATAAACAGTGGGGAACCCAAACGAAAATTCACAAGCCCCGATTCAAAGATTTAATTCTTACCAGTGTTTTTCTTCTGCCAATCTGACTCTAGAATGGAAGGAACCTTCCATTTACCTTCCTTTCTCAACCAGGCACCACAGGTGGAGATCCAGGAGCACCAACTTGGGTAAGAATTCTCACCCTCTGTGGGCTTGTGCCAGTTTTCCCGGGATCCCATCTGCAGACTCTAAAGCAAGTGGGGTGTCCCAGCAGGTCTCATCCTGACTACCAGAAATTGTAAAGGAGGAAACATAATTTTCCCTCTACCCTTTATAATAAGTGCTTGGCTGAGACTCCTTTTTCTCTAGGGTGCCTCACAAATGGATAAACTAATCAAGGTAAAAGTTCTCCACTGTGGCCTCTGTACTACAAGATTATCTTTGGTAAGATTCGCCTACTGGTTCACGCTTAAAACCAAAGTTTATTCACCTGAGGCCTCACACAGGACCAATTCAATTTAAGTCAGGCCTAGTCTCACCCTGACCCAGTCTGGTTTTTAAGTCAGACCTGGTCCGAGTCCAGCCAGTTTCTGGACCCAGGCCAGAAAAAGAGATGCTCAAATAAAGCCCAACAGTTCACAGTGCAAAAGCTGCGGAGCTGGGAGGGGACAGGAACTCACCTTCACCTCCGGAGGCTGCAGGAAAGCAGCTTGCCCAGTGAGCTCAGCGGGTACCTAGGTTGGCTGCTCAGGGTTTCCTTCTTTTGTTTCCGCTTCTGACACCAGAACTGTTAAAAGATGAACTGAGGCGTATAAAACATTTTAAGTGTTTATTTGAGCAAAAATCGATTCAAACTGGGCAGCATCAAACTGGAAGATGTTAGGAGCCCTCCATCACCAGGAACTCGGAAGAGACTTTGAGATAAGGCAGACGCAAAGGGAGGAAGCTACTGGGCTATAGCTTAGCTCAGCTGGCTGTTTGCAACTGGTCATTGTTAAGTTTCCATTTTGTAACCCTGTTTCCACTCTGGTTTCTTTATACAGGCCACCATGGCATTACAGCCACCTCCAGCGTGATGACCTCTTGGTTTAATTACTTTAACAATAGTTACCCTGAGGATTTTCTACTTGGTTTACTTTGACGCTTGCTTTTGAGCCTATGGTGAAAAAAGTCTACCTTCTGGGTCAGGGTGGGTAGAGGGAGGGCCTAGGACAATGTCAAATCACAGCCTTTTCTCCTCCCCTCAGGAAGTAAAGTCCACCAGAAGCAGAGCCTTAACTGGCTCTAACCCTGGGCTCTTACAATGCTGGCTTGTTTTCACGGTGCAGCACAATGAAATGCCTCAGAAAAAGAGTAACGTTCTGGAAAGCTGTATAATTTATTTTTCTTCCCAGATTGCCTCAAGTCTGCGGAGGATTCCCTTGCTGAACGCCACTTCGAAGGTAGGATGAAACGGGACTGTGTTGGGGTTGGTCTTCTACAATGTTTGGAATGACCAGCATCTCTCCCAGACAGGCAGCCCTTCCACACGCCCCGCTGGCAGATTCTCCCTTCCAGGAAGAAACAGCCTGCCTGCCAGCCTCCCGGTGGCGAATAGAGAATGTTGCCCCACTCCGTCAGAACGCTTACATTTTCTTTGTGGTATTTCTCTGTATACATATATCTTACTAAACCACTTGTGAAAGGGTAGCAGACATTCTGTGACACTTCACTCCTAAATATCTGTTGGCACACGTCTCCTAAGAACAAGCATATTCCCCTGCAGAAGCACACAACCACAATAATACCCAAGAGATTCAACCTGGTCTACGATTCAGCCTTTATTCGAATTTCCCCAGCTCCCAAAGTCCTTTCCCATTTTTTTCTGATCTGGGACTCACTCGAGGAACAGTTGTGGCATTCTGTTGTCATGTCTATTTAGTCCCTTAGAATATTTTCATTTTAGCAAAAGCTGCGAAAGGAAATCTCTAAACCTGAGGCTCCCTAACCCCTTTTAATTTCTCTTAAGCCAAGAGCTTACCCGGAGGACCAGAGGGTGGTACACAGCTTCTCCTAGGATTTGGCTTGCAGACCTGGGGGAAGGACCGTGGGAGCAGTGCCCACCCCACAATCAATGAGGTCAGGCTTTGCAGCTAATTCCTGCCTGAAATGAACTGAGTGGTCACCTTTCAGTGGCCGTTCAAAGTGGTGGAAGAGAGATTGCTGCTGTGGCTTTGATGTCCCTCAAATCATAGCCTTTCATTATCTTTGACTCACTTTTCCCATGGCTCTGCCTGAATCATGATTATGGAGTAAACAGGGATAAGTTACATTTATATGTAACTAAGGACATACTCCAAGAGAACTGTCAGAGCCATGTTGACTTGCCAGGGGAAGCCAGGCAGCAGACCTCCACAAAAATCCCCCAAATGGTACAAAGCCCTGCTTGTATATTTGAGGTTGAGATCGAGAGCCTATAAACAACTTTAGAAATGAGAAGAAATCGTCTATTTTTAAAGAGGTGGGCTGAAAAAGACAAAAGTACAGTACAAGTGGTTTTATACCACAGAGAAAAAGAAAATTTAAACGTTCAGATCAGTTCGTCAACTGAATCACCTCTCTCTTGGATTTGTCACAGGGATCTTCTGCATTATAAACAAAGCATCATGAAGAGGGAGGGGAAGGCCCAATCTTACACGAAAACTCTGGATGGAGGTTGGGGATGGATGGTTGTGTTTCATTTCTTCCTGGTAAGAATTTACCTTCCTCTTTCCTACTGCCTGAAAGAAGGCTCTCTAGAGAAAATCTCAGAGCATCCTAACAAGATCACTTACGAAATCTTTGACATTTAAACAAAAAGGGGGTCAGAGCAAGGCCAGAAACTGCCAATGACCCCAAGAGAAAGCTGAAAATGTCCTCCCTGAACGCAGAAGCCTCTCCATCCAGGCTCCTACCCCTCCTCCCTACCATCCCTTACACCTACCGAGTGCTCCAGCCACCATCAGCAGCTCTGCCCTGGCTGCATGGTAATTAGGATTTGGGACAATCATACATTTAACCACCCCAGAAGTAGCACTGGAAAGTGCTAAAAGGTGGGGGTTTGGAGGAGGGCAGCTCCCCACAACACTGCTGCAAGCAACTGCCTTCTCTCCTAGGGGCTTTTCTCTGTTCTGCCTGCTGTCTACTTCCCAGCCCATCTCTGCCAACCATAACTTATGCTAGAGTTAAGCCCAGTGTATATTTCTGTTATGCCTGAAAAGGGAGAGGATGTGGATTCTGAAACTGGAGCCTGATCTTTCTCCCTTATCCATTAAGCAACTGGACTCAGCACTCTGTTTTTTAATTAACTTCTTCCCTTCATCCTCCCAGAAGCTCTTGGGGTTGTTACATGAGACGGTGGTGAACTGAATCACCAGCATGGTCATTCTGATGGGACGGGTGAATCCCATCACAGCTGTACCCCAAACAACCCTGCAGAATGGCACCAGCTCCACAGTTCCTCTTAAGTGTTCCCAAGTTGTGTGAACTTCTAGATGTACTCACAAAGATACCCTTTCCCTCCTGACTCTCCTCCCAACCCTACAGTAAAGAAGCTCCCAGGGAGGCGAGTGCAGGTCCTGGTGACTAACAATCCTGCAGCCCACAATGCGTGTAACAGCGCAAGATAAACAGGACCTTAACGGGAAACACACCTCCTCTCCCTTGATAGAGGAGGGGAGGGGAGGGGCAGAGATCTTCGGCCAGGATTTATGTAATATGAAACTCCTAACCAGAGGACTATTGGTTAAACATTAGTTTCATTGCCAAAGAATGTGGAATCTATTTTTTCCTCCCAGAAATGTTACTAATAAGGAAACTGAGGATGCCCTAAGTCTGGGAGCCTTCCTGCGGCTGGGCCAGCCACCCCCCAACCCATCACAGGCTTTGCAGAACTGGCATTGCTGGTGAGGACCTCTAAGTCTCCTACACTTTCCCCCAGTAACCACCATTCCTTTTCCTGCATTGTTCTCTGAGGATAGGAAGTTAATTGACCAACTTGCTGCTGGTAAGGAAAGTTGCCTAATAACCAGATTAATAAACAATGTCCCACTTTTTTGGGTGGGATGCTGCCCCTCATAAAAGCACAAAAAATAACATTTTGGGGTCCTCAAAATGTTAACAATTAACGCAGACTAATCACCCACAGTGGTAACATGGACACTTAGATGCTTTTTTGTCTGCATGAGTTACAAGTCTACTTTCCTACAATAGCTGAGCTCCTGAAAAGGTGGGTGAAAAACCCAATAATGACGTGTTCTTCGGGAACTCCCTACTTATATATATATTTAAAAAAAAAAAAGGACCCATTCTAACCACACTTTAACCATACTTTATAACTTATTTGCATGATTGTTTTCTGTATTCGGCCTACCTCACTGGACCAAATGTTTTATAAGGACAGGGGCCGTGTCTGTTTGCTCATCGCTATAAGCCCAGCCCTTAGTAAACAGCCTGGAACACAACAGACACTCAATAAATACCTGTTGATAGATGGGAGGATGGATGGATGGATGGATGAACTGATTGATGGATACATTTATGAATAAACAAGGTGATAAATATGGAATTGGAGAGACGGGCAGGGACTTTGTAGGACATGGTAAGAATACTGGCTTTTCTCTTGAGGCTATGAGGAGCTTTATGAAAAATATTAAGCAGGGGAGTAATGGGGTCAGATCTCCATTTCAGGACCATAGCTCTGGCTGCAGGGTAGACAGATAATGGATTGATGAAGGATAGGCCTATAAGCAGGGAGGTCCTCTAAAGAGATGCTGCAATAATCCAGCTGAGAAAAAGAGTAAGACTAGCAACCGGGATGGAGAGAAAATACAGATGGGAGCAATACTGAGGGAGCAGACTTGTTAGACTGGAGATAAGTGAATAGTAGGGAGACAGGGAGTCATGGAGGCCTGGGATGTTGGCTTGGGCACTAGGAGGATGATGTACGCCCTTCACTAAGTTGGACAACATGAGGAGAGAAAACCTGAAGATGGCTTGGATGGTTTAACTTTGGACACTTAAGTCTGAGGGGCTTGCGACATAACCAGTAACATGTTCAGCATAGACTGTGTGCATGTGGAGCACAGATCTGTATACTGAAATTTGTGTCATCAGCATACACAGCGATTTGAACTATGTGCCAGTGTAGTAAAGTCACAAGGGAGAGAGAGATGGGAGGCTGGGACAGAACTCTGGGGAAACCTGATGTCTAGGGGACAGGTGGAGAATGGCTCACAAGGGAAACTGAGCAGCAGAGAGGTTAGACAATTCAGAAATGTATGTAGCATGTAGTGTCACAGAAGCTAAGGTAGAAATATACAGAAGCAGCAGCAGATGCTACAGAGGCCAGATTTGATAGAAATGAAAACGAGGTGACAAGGAAGTTTCTGATAACCTTGATAAGAACTGGTACAGTGGAGTGGTGGGACGAGAGGAAGTAGAGATAACCTACTCTTTAAAGAAGTTTGTGAAAGTCATGAAGAGCTAGGGTGATACTAGAAGAGGGACCTAAAGTAGAATGAAGTTGTTTGTGATTAAACAATAATTTTTGACAAAGCCTGATGCCATGTATTTAAAAGGTGCCACCGTGGCCAATCCTGCCCCCTTTCCCAAAACAATATTCTAATTTGAATGATCTGGTGAGGGCGCTCCTACAATGGGAGTCGGGGTGGGAGGAAGGTTTATGAAGGGACTGGAGAATTTCTACGGGCTTTTAGTTTGGGGTGAGTCCATTTACAACGTCTGATGTGGGCTCTGGAACAGGACTGCAACCCACCAACCTTGGTCCAAAGAATGGGTTAACAGTATAATCAGGATTTATCTAGTCTGCTTAGTTAACTAAGAGAAAATCTAGACCTTGGGAAAAAAAGTTTTAATTATCTGAGTCAAAACAGAAACAAAATTAGAAGATTACAAGTTAAAAGAGGGAGGCAGGGTAGATACAAAGGCTGTGTCCTTGGCCTTGATACACACAGTGGAAGGCACAGCCCCAGTTATTAGAGACAAGTCATATCCACTTACTGCTGCTCTGCCCAGACTTCAAGGAAACACCAGAGAGGAAAGGTTCTGAACCGGGAGAGTACCAGTAGCTAGCCAAATTCTGGTGGCTAAGAATATGAGGCCAGCATCCTGTAGATGCCAGCGCAGAACGCGTGTCCACAGAAAAAGAGGAATGGTATTTTACAGAATGATGCCTCATTGCAGTATTCCTTGCTCATTAGAGGGCACAACCACCACTCTCTATTTCAAACTGTAAGAAACCAGTCTGGGTCATTTAAGGTTTGTATGTATTTTCTAGCCTTATCTCCTGATAAAGGCATTTTGAGGAACATTATGATGACAAAGTGTCTGATAAAGTGCCTTTTTCATTTTTGAATATATCGCCCTGGTGTCCATAGCATTGTTCACTCTAAGTATGGCGAGACCTTTAACTTCTATTAAACCAGAACGGGAAAAATGTATTAAGGGACTGCCTCCTCACCACTCCAACCTTTGCAACCTTGGAGTACCACCACTGATTCCTAGTCCCTTACTCCAGACAAAAAATAATACAAGTCTGACATAACAGTCTAGTGATGAGGGTGGAGGGGGAAGGTCTGTTTAGTAGGTAGGGGCTGAGGGAAGGAGGTGCTTAAATGGAGGCAGGTCTCTGACTTGGGTGAGTGGGTGGACAGCACCAAACAAGAGAAATTAAAAGAGCAGACATGGGATAAGGAAAAGATAAGTTTAGTTCTGGATAAGTTAGCCTGATTTAGAAAGATATGGTAGACAGCAAGTAATATGAGACTGGAGCTCCTGGGAAAGCAGAATGGTTGTTCAAGATAACAAAATCATAGTTAATAATTTGACTATTAAGTGCTAAGTATTACTTTACCAGAATTTTCTCCATCTTCACAGTCCTATGAGCTAGGTGACATTTACTTTATCTCCACTCTACAAGAGGAAGCTTAACTTCCGCAGTTTGCCCAAGGTCATGCCCCTAGTAGGAAGCAGTCAGGATTCTAGCCAAGGCAGGCTGACTGCAGACAGAACACACTATTCACAACTACACCATGAATACAGGGGTGGTAATTAAAACTTGAATGATTGTCTGTGGGGCAGGCATAGAGTGAGATGTGTGTAGAACCACAGGGGAACATATTTATCAAGTGGACAGAGAAAGTGGAATCAGTGAAAAGGAAGCCAGGGTTTGTGGTCCTTTAGCAATGCATGGGCAGCTTGAAAGCAAGAGAAAGTAGCCTTGAAACACCGAGATCACCGAAAAAAGAAAAGGGGCCACTAGGTAGCCCCTGTAGCATCCATCAGGTGGCTCCTGGGCTTTGAGTGACTGCAGAGCCTGGTTAGGTGTCCTCCCTTCCAGTTCCCTTCCTGAACCCTGCTCTTCCCTGTCCTCATTCTAATCAGAATTCCAAGAAACAAATGTTAGTACTCCATTGAAAGCCGAACCTCAAAAGGAGCACTCCCCCTAGTGGAGGGAAGGAGGGTGGTGCGGGCAAGAAGGATTAAGTGGGATGAAAAGAAAAGGATGTGGCACATGACCCAACCATAATGTGACTATATATCCTCATTACCTTCGCTGTCCTGGCATAAATTAATAGCGCTACTTTTCACTCTCAAAGAGTTTCAACTGAATGATAAATTATACAGTTGCCCTATTTATATACCAGGTGAAGGAGGGTACTCAGCTCAAAAGCAAAGTTAACACAAAGTTAACCTAAGAACTGACAGGAACAGTTCTTTTGGAACAACGCACATCGCTCACAAAGGTAACTGGAATTAGCTGTCTTTAACAGATACTATTGTAACAGGACAGTGCAGCAGTTCATCTATCTGGGTTCGAATCTCAGCTCTGGCACCCACATCTTGAGCATATTTTAATCTAAATCTCAATTTACTGAGCTTCTAATACAATATTGACACACCTATTCCGTAGCCTGGTAATGAGGATTAAATGAGATGCTTAAAAAGTGCTTAGACACTAACAGGATAATGGCCTCATAAACATAAATGTTTTAACGAGGAACCAGCAACGACCTGGTAAATACTGATGAGCCAGGGGAATCACAGCCTCCAGCAGCTGTAACCTCCTCTGTAATGGCTTACTCACCACCTGACTTGGAATCTTTGGTCTGCTCTGACTTAGGTAAATGTGTTTGTGATGGGGATGACCAAGACTTTTGCAATTTTCTTTGTGGTTTTTCAAGAAGAGTTTGAAGGCACCTCAGAGCAAACTGGTTGGATTGGATCCATCATGTCGTCACTTCGTTTTTGTGCAGGTATAAAGCTGGCAATAAGCTTCTTGTCCAAGGAGAAGGACCACAAAGGGCAATTCCAAGAAGACTCATCTGTCAGTCATTCAAGGCTGAAGCGTAGCTAAAACTCAGGTTTATTTATTAATATAAGTAAATAAATAGTAAGTAAAGCTGAGAAAAGGACTGACTTGCAGTGTTTAGCCTCCACCTGACATGGTACAACTGGAAAAGTTAGGGTTCAAACAAAGAAAGTTGAAGAATCCAACTATTTAATTCCATGATGCAATCATGCCTTATTTCTTTCAAAAGTGCCTTAATAGAGGTTCAGTGAGCCAGTCTCTCAACTGGGAAGTCTGACCATGAAATTCTGATCTGATCATTTGAGCATGCTCATAACAAAATACAAAACCAATTCCTCTTCCTTTTGTTCTAGTTGGAGCTGTAACATGATGAAATAGATTTAATAATTGAACTCTGTTCTAGCCACAGGTCACTAGATGCAACCCTTTTGCAGAGGTTTTATAACGAATTTCCAGTAAGCTTCCCTTCCAAACCTTATTTACAATCCTCTTTAAAACAAACAACAAAACTCTTCTTCCAAAAAGCAAAACAGTGTGGGACTGGGAATACTAATAAACACAGTACAGACACTTTTTGAAGGATACCAAAAGTAGAGTCCTGTTATTTCCCTAGAGTTGACCATTTAAATTGCACACCATAAGGAATGCCAGAGCACATTTAACTAGTGTTTGTTTCTTTCCCAAGGTCCCCTAGTTGCCATTGTTTGTGACGTAACTGGAGAAAAATCTGCGTCCATTCTTGGGGCTTTCCTTGTTACTGGTGGATACCTGATCAGCAGTTGGGCTACAAGCATTCCCTTTCTTTGCGTGACTATGGGATTTTTACCTGGTGAGTCCGTGGTAATAATAAGATTTTAAAAGATGGAACTAGGAACCTTCCCTTTTACTGTCCATGAGTCCAAAAGGCCTACTTATATCATCTCAGGTCCAGGAGTACCAAGCCTCTTGATTTGAAAGTGATTCCAAGCTATTATGTTTGTCTTTTAGGTTTGGGTTCCGCTTTCTTGTACCAAGCAGCTGCTGTGGTAACTACCAAATACTTCAAAAAAAGATTAGCTCTTTCTACAGCCATTGCCCGTTCAGGGATGGGACTGACCTTTCTGTTAGCACCCTTTACAAAAGTGCTGATAGATCTCTATGACTGGAGAGGTGAGTCATTCTAAGTTTCTGAACTACCAATTCTGCAAGATTTAATGTTCAGTTCTCCCTTTGACGACTAGAGAAGTGGGCATGATTTCTAAAGTAAACATGCTCCTCTTTCTTGAAGAATATGTGGCAAAAGAGATCCTGAATTACCTGCAGGCTTTGCTAGCCCACACAGGCAACTCAGGGGTTCAGTCTGCGGGGATGGAGGGCAACGTGTGTGGCTGGGGAAACCCCTCACAGGGAAAGCAGGACTTGTGGGGAAACAAGGACCCTCTCCTCAAGGCATTCTTCTCCCTCACCAAAGCATTTTTTTCAAATTTTCCCTTTAAGAAAAAAAACCTGCATTTAAAAAAAAGTCTCTGCCATCAGATTCACTACAATAGATGGGAAAAAACTGTGTAACAAAACAACTGTGTTCCTTAATACTTAATCTTTTATATACTGTCAACTATAAATTTTCACAAATGAATAAAAAATCATTTACCCTCCAACTTTCTTCATATCTGAGATAAAACATTTGGATTAAAATAATCTCAAATTATTAGAAAAAATCTATTCATATGTACACACATATGAACATATATAAGCTACTCCTATCCACAGAGCAGTTTTGTTGAACCTTTCCTTTCCTTTCCTCATAAAAAACTACCACTTGTCTCATGGTGAACAGGACTGGCTGACAAATCTGTAAGACAGGACAGCAGAACCTACAACCAGTTCTGTCTCTAGAAGCAACACACCCACGTCACAGCTTTGGTCACGACATGCTGAAGTCAAGCAACTACTCAGCTTCAAAGGCACCATGGCATCTGTCTTCTTTCAAGGAAATTTAAAATGTCATGAGATGAAAGGCTCTCTCCAAAGATTTCCAAATAATTCCCATCACCAGTTCTGTATTTTCTCTACTTCAGGATATTTAAAACACACTGTAGTTTTCTAACATTTGAACTATGACTCCCCTCCCCCACCCATTTTTCCCCCTTTAGCAATAACTCTCCTTCCATGCCACATATTGGTGCAGCTTTCCAAGTTTCCTATCTCCAAAGGACTCCTTTTTTCACAAAGATACAGAAGCGTGTATGGCTAACAGTTAAGTCAATGGATTTTAAAACTTTCAGCTAATTCAAGGACAAAGGAGTGTTTTCAGGAATTACTGCAATATGACTTAATATTTAGTGGTGGGGCCTCTTCTGAGCCTAAGAATACAGAGTATTGTGAAATGAGAGGTAATTTTGAGTTTAACTTCTCAATTTCTCTCTATTCAGGTGCGCTTATATTATTGGGAGCTATCACTTTGCATCTGGTGCCTTCTAGTATGCTCTTAAGACCCATCCACATCAAAAGAGAGAGCAATTCCACTCTTAATGATAAAGGCAGCAGCCTGTCTGCAAGTGGTCCAGAGACAGCACGTGGGACAGAAACATCATGCTGCAATGAGATACAAGAGTCAGCCCTCAGAGACAGTACTAAGCAAAAGGCTGGACAACATGGTATAAGTTTAACAGTCTCACATAATCAAAATGAAGACTTCAACAATGGGCCCAACAGGAACAGGATGTTCCTAAAAACTAATGAAGAAAGTTATCGGAAAAAGGCTATTTCGTGGAGCTGTAAACAAAAACTCTTTGATGTTTCTCTTTTTAAGAATCCTTTCTTCTACATATTCACGTGGTCTTTCCTCCTCAGTCAGTTGGCATATTTCATCCCTACCTTTCACCTGGTAGCCAGAGCCAAAACACTGGGGATTGACATCATGGATGCCTCCTACCTTGTTTCTATAGCTGGTAAGAAAGTCTTCTTCAACCTCACCCTCAAAAGGAAAAATGAACTTAATTTTATAAAAACAATACATGTTATTAGAAAGCTGAAGAATAACAATTTTTTAAAAAAGCAGTTGTGGGAGGGCTGGTGGGAGTAGCAGGCCTTTCCCTCACAGAACTGTCACACACCTTACACACAGGCTCATCCTTAGCAGACACTGGACCCGAAACCAAGTCTTATTAATTTTCCTATGTCAGGGTCTGTCTGACACAGTAGACACTAACTATTTGCTGGATACTGAACTTTGGAAAGCTGGTGCTCAGTGGTAACAGTCATTCTATAAACTAAACCAAACCAAACCAAACCAAACTAAACCCTAGGTAGACAGCACAGTGTAGTGCTTGAAAAGACTGGCTCTGGAGCTAGACTTTCCAGTTCAAGTTTCTGCTCTGTTATTTCCTCACCTTATGACCTTGGGCAAGTTATTTGCCTTTCGTGTCTCAATTTCCTCATCTGTAACACAGGGATAATAGAAGCTACTCTCACAAGGTTATTAGGGTTAAGCAAGGAATGCATGTAGAGTTTAGAACAGTGCATGGACATCATAAGCATTCAGTAACGTTCTGGTAATATTCATAGCTATGCATTTTTCCCCCAAATTCATAAACAGTAAGACAGATAAATATGCCTACTAAGACTAGTTACTAATGAATTGGCTGAAATTTAAAATAAACTAGAATGAAAAATAAAAATCATCATTTTAATTGAGCACTTATAAAAACATATGGAAACACAGCTTGATCCAGAAGATGTGGATTCTCTAAACTGACAAAACAGGGAGTCTGAAAAAATGAAAAAGAATGAAATGGAACTGGTTTGCTCTAACTGGAAGTTTTCAGTAGTTCAACATTAACTCTTCTCTTGCTAATTTCTTGAAAAGACTATTTACCAAGCCCTTGCAAAAGTGACTGCACCCTGTTTCCAACTGCAATGACACTGCTTCAGTCAAATAAAGCCTGTGTACACAAGAAAAAGATACAAAGGATACATAGCTAAACTGATTTTTTTTTCACTAAAATGTCTGGAGTATGAATTTAGATCAGATTAGAGCTATACAACAGGACCAAAGAATATAACATAAAGTCTCAATATGTATCCTAGGAAACAACTATACAAACAGATATGGAAATGGTAACATCCATTTTTTTTGTTCCTTTTTATGGAGCAATTTGTTTGAACCATAGAAAGAATTAGAAATATAAAACTGTAGCTCATGATCCTCTTGGTTAAAATCTCTTTAGTATTTAATTGCTAAATTAACTTACAATAGAATAAAGGATAGGAATGCTCTGTTATCATGAAACTGAGTGAAAAATGTTATTCTTAAATTTTATTCCAGTTACACCATAGCTCCAGTGTTCAAAAGATGATCTCCCATTTCCAGACTTCCTACATATTTTCAAGTTATGCATAACAAATTTCATATGCAATTAATAAGAAAGAGTCTCAACATCTATTTTTTTTTCAACATAAGACTTTATTACTTATACTCTGCTCTTCCACCATATGACTTCCCCAGGACACTAACCTGTGGGTCTACTTAAGAAATCTCACTTCCTCACCTGCAGGACCTCTTCAAGGGAGGCCTCCTGAGCCCAGGGTCCTTTGTAACCAGGTATTCCCAGTTTGGTGGTATGAGCTTTCCAAACACAATCAGGAAAAAAAAAACAAAAAACTTGATGGGTCCTCTACCCAACTCTGAAGGAGCGTTTTTAGTATTTTATTAGATGTGTTTGGAATAGGTCAGGAAATGATAGAATCTACTGACAGACAAATAAAACCATTTTTTTCCTCATATGTCCTCACCTCAGGATGAAGTCCTAATACTCAGGAAAAGATACCTTCTGCATTTACATTTTCCAAAGGGGCTAGGAAAATGGAATTTGGAGTTCATAAGGCCTTTTCAATATTGTTCCAGGTATCACTGAGACAGTCAGTCAGATTATCTCTGGATGGGTTGCTGATCAAAACTGGATCAAGAAGTATCATTACCACAAGTCTTACCTCATCCTCTGTGGCATCACTAACCTGCTTGCTCCTTCAGCCACCACATTTCCACTACTTATGACCTATACCATCTTCTTTGCCATCTTCTCCGGAGGTTACCTGGCACTGATACTTCCTGTACTGGTGAGTAGATACATTCATTAATGTTCTAACACCATTTAGTAAAAAATTATTTAGATTAATAATAATCTCCCCAAAAGAGAATACATATTTTCTATTAATTTTATAATTGAAAAAATCAAACCCAAGGCCTCAGAAACCCTGTAGCTCTATCCTATCCAGCTATTCATCTTACTCTGGGGGAAGGGATGACAAGAGGACCGCCCACATGGGACAGGATAGAAGTAAAAGCAAAATCAGGATCAGAAGGATTCCATTTTGCTTATCAGTCTCTCCCAGGTTAGGCTTCTGTTCACTTCTTTCCTTCAGAAACTTCTTTGGTTTTTTTCTAAGACACAATCTTAGAAGAGTTCCCCGAGAGAAAAAGGGGCTTCCTGACCTCCACTGGCTTCTCTCTCGTTGAGAGATACTTTAATAGGGACACTGAGCTTTTAACTCCTCTCCATTTTTAGCCCAAAGTGACATAAAGTCCTAGACCCAAATGGAACTAAAATAGTTATACAAATACTTGTGAGTTGTTCTAGGACCAGGGATACTTAGAACTAGGTCCCCAGTGCACTAGAACTGAATCCCGGGGAAACTTTTGGCCTGATATCAATATTAGCATAAGTGCTACAAGATAGTATATGAGGCTTAAGCAAAAATCAAACTTTCTAAAGCTGAAATCAACTTCTTGAGATAATCTGATTTCTTATAAACCAATGGTTGGTACTCAGCCATAGGTGGATTCAGGAATATCACTGTCAGTTCCGACTGTAAATAACATGTCCTACTAGAGAAGAGCAGTTAGGTTCAGGGGAAAAAAGGACCCATGAGCCAACTGAAAGATTTAAAAAAGGAAACAAAAACCAATGTTCTTTATAAATAAAATGAAAACACTGCTTAGTGAAATTACTGTTCCCTATTTGCCTCAGCTTTTTCATAAGATCAGCATAAAAGGCCATCCAAGCCACCTTAGAAGTCAACTGTTCACAGTTTAGGATGACAGACACAGTATTTGCCCCTTTGTAGGAACGGATCTCTACAGAATTTCACCCTGCATATGGCTAACACTGGATTCTAATCCCTACAGGTTGATCTGTCTGGGAATTCTACAGTACACAGGTTTTTGGGGCTTGCCAGTTTCTTTGCTGGGATGGCTGTCCTTTCTGGACCACCTTTAGCAGGTAACACTTAGCCATATTCTGAGCAAACTTCAACAGCAATGAAAGAAAACGCTGGCCCAAGATTTATGGTAACATGTAATGACAATATCAGGTTTAAAAAAACTGATGATTTTCTCTGCTGTTTCTATACCAACTCTCACACTCCATCACTAATCCAGGAGACTCTGAGGGTTAATTCAACAGATGTGCACTGAACAGATTCTTATATTCTATTGGGAATCTTAGAGGAGGGATTGTATGTCTGTGTACTTGTCTGGGAGACAATCCAGAGTTTTACCAGATTCCCAAAGACCTATGATGCTAAAAAATAAAAACAAAAACCCACTAGCATCTTTTATCTAAACAGGAGTCTTATAAGCTTAAAAGCTGCAGGCCTGACCTCTTTGCTCTTCAGATGTGCCATACAGCTGTCTTGGACTAAAGGCCAATCTCTGTGGAGAGGATATGTGGGGCCGTTGGTGAACACTAAATACAAGAAGAGTAAAACTTTGGGGAGTTTTAATTTTTAAGTTAACTTTTAAGACTGAAGCATTATTTTATTCACCTTTTACCTAATGGGTCATTTTGTGCTTGAACATTCAAAGACTATTAAAAGACCAACTACTCACACAAATGTTTTTAGAAAACAGACTTCAGCTTTAGTTATCTTACACTAAAAGTTCTCAATATATTTGAATTACAAATTACTACAGCATTTCCAATAATCCACAAAAAGGAATTCAGCTTAAAACTTACTTTTGCTTCCCTCAATCCTGAAGTAAGACAGAAAAAGGGTCTGATCTTGCCCCACTATTATTTTTCTAAACCAAATTTTATAATGATGTTAGATATAGAGGTACGTCTCTATAAACTTAAGACTCGGAAAAGCAAGTATCAAAAGAAAAAGTATAAAAACTTAATAAAAGAAATTATTATTGAAGGGAAAAAATGCACTCACTATCTGAGGTTCAATTTAGGTGGATCTAAAGGAAAAGTTTATACAAATATACAACTAATTCCTTATTTGCATCTACAAACACACCTCTTCCCATGAGGTCTAACTCAGCCAATACTTCATAACTGGAAAGCCGGCTAGAATTTTAAAGTCAAGCCCAAATTGTTATATAGAGATTGGTAAAAGAGGACCAAACACCAGAGATGCCTGGCACAGCTACTCTATGGCTAGTGCCCAGGTCAGTGAAATACAGGAAACAGAGTTTAAATACAGTTTGCTGATACATTTTTTTCAATCTTGACCCTTCTTCACTGGCTGTCCCAATGACACCTTGGAACTTTTCAAGCCTATTAGGCCAAAAGTGTAGGGAAGTAATAAATACCAGGGCACAGAGTATCTTACTCAAATAATAAAGGCAAGTAACAAAACTATAACATGTTTAGAGATATATGTTTTTTCATATATCTTAAAATGTGTAAATAGTTCAGTGCATGAGAAGACAAGGCAAGTTTTTTGAGAAGTATTACTTAAAAGGAAAAAGCTACAGATGTGTGTGTGGGTCTTGATATCAACTTGCTGGGTCCTGATCTTTAAAAAATGTTTAATGAAAAAAGGACCACACATAGGTGGGTTCCATGGTGTAATGGTTAGCACTCTGGACTCTGAAAAAAGGACCACACAGCAGATTAGAAATCAGAGTGCATCACTTTATTGTGAAACTTTTATTTCACATGCACACACACCTATGTAATATAAAATATGTGATGTAAAAATACATTCCTTACTGTCAGTGAGTCAAAAAAAAAAGCTACAAAGCCTTTTACTACCCATGTCCGTAATACCCTACCATCCTGTGTGAGGATAAAGAGAGAGATCATGGTAGAATTTTTACCTGCTAACTCTGAGTATCATTTAGACAATCATATTTATAAGTTGTACAAAAAAGTCAAAGAAAGTGATAAGGCTGTTGCTGAAAGCTTAAGTAAAGAGTTTTAGTCTAGGGGTTGCTCACAATATCTTAAATAAGATTATGACAATTAAAATATAATTCAGTTAAATTTCCTCCTCTATACCATGATCTCTCATTGACTAAATGTTGTGCTAGGCATCTTGTTGAAGGGAGACTTCAGGAAAGCCCTTGCTCCTTTAAGTCACTGCTCTGTGAAATGACAGAGGATTTTACAAAGGCCATTAGATTTGTTCCCAACTTCTAATTCCACCACCAACTGCCAAGAAACATCAGAAATACTGATTTACAGATCCACTCGTCTCTTAACAGGTATGGACAGTTACATTACTGTCTTTAGCTTTAAGTAAATCGAAAGGCTTACTGGTTATACAGTATTAAATTCTAAATCAAATTTAGACCTTCAGAACTGTGTGAGATCCTCATTTTTTACTTACCTAGGTTTGTTATTACCAAATTGCGAAAGTTGAAACTCTTATAAAAGACTACAGGCATTTTAAATTAGGAATCTAGCAAACAGTAAAACATTAATCCTCAAAAGACTAGTTAAAAGTGGTAACATCGATTACATGAACAATAATTTTCTCCTTCCTGTGTGAAAATGAAAAAGAAAAACAAGTTAGTCCTATACAGCATATTTTAATAATTCAAGGAAAGAAAAAAAGCATAAGAAACCGGTAGGAATCATATAACTGAGATTTTTTTAAAGTTACTTTTTTTCTTTAAAAAAAGGTAAATAAAGCATATGGGCAAGAAAAGTATTTATACACCTCTTTTAACAGTGATTATGATAAGAAATAAAGTAGCAACAAAATTCTTTATCAGAGCTTGGCTGAAATTGATTTATAGGGATTGAAATAAATAGAAGTTATACAATGACCCCGCCCCACAAACAAGTGACCACCCCGCCCACTTCCTATTCCTTCCGTACTCAGTGACAAACTCAATTTTAGTTAATGTTATGGCTTGCTTCAGACTCAGTCAGTTTCAGGATTGTTCTAGGTTTCCTGACCTAGGTGGTCAGTAGACCCAAGTGTGGGCCAAATGTCATGGTTCATCAAAACCCAAATGCTGTTTTTTTGCTGCTAGATGGCACCAGAACTATACACTGATACCAAGATGGAAGCTTTGGAAGGTTGTGGAAAAATAAAAAGTATTGATATTTTTAAAACTTAATATATTTATAGTGGGCCCGTTAACAAAAGTTCACCTGCAGAAAGCAATATAAATGCAAAAATAGTGCCTTGGGCAAAAAAAAACAAGTATATAATCATATTCTCCAATGTACAAGATAGATATAAGTTACTTATGCAAAATTCCTAATCTTGTAACCAAGGCATTTGACATGTGAGCTCAAAATGCTAAGGGCTCAGTTTCATTTAAAAATAAAACCACCAACTGCCCACATTAGCTGCCCATAAAAGAAAACTGAATACAGTTCCCCTCTCCTCCACATGCCCCCCATTCCCAACTGATGAATACATATATTATGCCAACATATATTTTAATATATTTTAAATCAATCAATATACCTCTGAACACTTTCTTAAAATGCCATAAATGTTTTGTTTTTGTTCTCACCACCAAAAGTTTATTTTCCATCCATACAGTTGATCTCCCTTACCCATTTGCCCTCCCTCCCGCCCCTTCCCTTCTGCTAACTACTACTCTGTTCTCTGTATCTATATGTTTATTTTTGTTTGGTTTGTTCATTTATTTTGTTTTTGTTTGTTTCATAAATAATTATTTGATTATAACTCAGTATTCATTCACTCATTATCAAGAACTCTGCTAGCTGCTACACCGGACACAGACAGAAGTTACTCTTTCAATTTTCATTCATACTTTATTGGATGATGGCAAAGCACTCACTCTGTCAGCCTCATACACTGTCAGGTCTTAACACTAAGCACAAGAATCTAGAACCTCTAAAACTCAGAAGTGTCAGAATTTGCATTCTTTTTCCATTTCATTAATTGAAAATTTGGTTGAGCCACTATAACCCATGTCTCCATTTTCTTACCTTTAAATGAAGGCATCCTAAGCTTCAGTATAATAAAAATGACCTTAAAATATATTGATGCTTCACACAATCAAGCAAGTACTTCACAGAAGTAATTTTTTTCAATAATTCAAGGAAAGCCATTTCTAATGCCAAATAACTCCAAGTTGATTATACTCCAGAATGAGCTAAAGTTAACTAACTAGCTCCTAAAGAAGAAATACATCTCTCTCTTGCTGTTAATTGTCAACATCACAATTCATCAGAAACATGATGGAGCAAAGCTGGTAATTTGGCACTAACACTTCAGCTGTGTTTTATAAGAAAAGACAACAGCTAAAAATTCATCCATCTAAGCTTTTCTCTGTCCCATTAACACAGAAAAGTTCATCTCCTCATGAAATGATAGATCGTTTCCTATCTCTATGCCATCCTCATTTCAGATACGATATTAAATAAGTATTCCACCCAATCCTCACTCCACCTTTTATCAATCATGCCTGCTACAATCTTACCAGTCATCTTGGCCTGTCAGTTGAATTTCTCTATGGCCTGAAATTTTATTTGGAAAACAAATACACAAACAAAACAACTCAACCCTTTTGGTCTGCTATGAATCCATTTCAGAGGGTGGGGGTAAGTGGGGGACAAGTGAGAAGGCAGAACAAAGTTCTCTGACCTTTAAATCCTAAGGAATATATTATACCCTGAAAAGGCAAAAGAAAAGTGTAAATCATTTATTTATCCAGTGATTATTTTCATCGTAAACAAGCAGCCCTATAGAATTTTATTTTGAGTATTCCCAGGATTAATGAATCCCCACAAAATCATAAAAAAGAAATTCCAAACAGCTCTTTATTGTGGTTTAAAAAAGGAGTTTGGGGCGGGGGGATAGGGAGGTGGAGGGTAGTCCTTCCCTTGCAAAGATACTCCTTTACAAGACCAAGGAATCAAGTTTCAAAATTCTAACATAGACCACAATCCTTTTAATAAAACTTACATCACAGAGCCAATACTTAAAGCACTACCAGGAAATCTTACAGCAAATTTCTATCATGGGGCCTTTAAGAGAGTTCTTGTCTTGAAAGGCACTGAAGCTTATATTTACTAAATCATGTTGCCCAAGATTTTTCCCATCATGGCACATATAGAAAGTATTTGTAGGGCACACCCAAAGTAAAATGACAAGGCTGCTAACAGCCAGATGGCAGCTCCAGTGACCCCAGGGATCACTGTCTCTGTATACCCTGGAAGTCTGCCACTAAGCTGCAGCCCAACAGCTGGAAGCCCTGGTTCAACACTGGCTAGTCGCTTACACAATTCTCAACAACTAATCTGAACTACTATCAAGGAACTTGGAACTATGGGCCTTCTGGGGGTATTTCAAGTCTTAACAAGATGGTAAACTTACAGTTGTAATCCTATTAAAAAGGATTAGTAACTCAGCTAAAATCAACTTCTGAGATATCAGGGATATAAATACTTTTTAGATGGGGTGTTAAACTCATCTTTAAAGGCATATGGCTTAACCCATAACATGATAGAGTAGTTTTAAATGATGATATTAAAAAAAAAATTTAGAATTCTATATTAAACACCAAACTTGAAAGATTATTCGAACCCCTTTTTTGTTGACTATAAGAAAACTGGTTTACCAAACTGTTTAAGGCAGTTGAACCCTATCTTCTTAGTTGTTCTAAATTATCACAGGAACCATTATTAGACATTCCTGCTCAGAACAAGGGTTCCAACCATAGATATAAGGAAATAATTTGGACAATTTTATTGTACATAAGAATTAACTGAGTGCCACCCAGGAGGAAGTATGCTTGAAGGAAGGCAATGAATTTGCACAATTAACATGTATCTCAAGTGAATCTGATACAGGTGATCTGGAGACACTGAGGAAATGTTCAGAGGGGACCTCAGCTTAGGAAGTCTATACCAGTACCCAGTGTACTCCGCAGAGTGTTGGCTACATACAGTAACCCCCAGCGTGGAGTGGAGACTCAGAAGCACACACACTTTGCTAAATTGTGGCTGGTATTCTCTGCTATTCACAATGCTTTTGCTACGACCACAAAGGAACCTAGTCTTTTGAATGCCAACTTATGTGTATATTTCTATTTAAAAACAATTAGAATACAGTGGTTTCTGATCTACCAACAACAATTTCTTTTAAAAATATAATTTCCTTCAGAAATATAAGCCCTTAAATTGTTTAGGGTTAAAAGTACATTTGTATACAGCTTTTTCATGCTGTTACCAAAAAAGTACACAAATCTAATAAAATCAGATCAGATATATAGTCTTCTTTCACTTTCAGTGGTGGGGAAAGGCTAATTATTCCAACCAAATAGAGATGTTTGGTTACAGCAATGAAGCTCTGAATTGAACTTAACCTGTTAGCCATTTAAATCTAAGCCTGATTATGAAGCTAATACTTTTTCATAAGACAATTAGTCAGTAATAACATATAGTCCTGCATTCTACATTTCACCTCGTTTGCTATTATAAATAGCATCCTAAAACTAAACACTCAACTGAATATTATTATCCTACTGAATGGCAATTAGATCTTAGAGACAAAATTTTAAAATATACTGATCTCTCAATTATCAAGCATGAATGGGAGAAACAGATTTAAAACAAATTATTTCATTAAACTTTGCAAGGAAATACATGGAAACATACAAGTATGTTAAATAATTCCCTGCCCTAGTAGGAAAATAAACTAAATATATTTTAATCTTTAATGTTTCAGAAATGATGTTCTCACTTTAAATGTGTGTTTGAAATGAAAGGCTTATAAGCAGTTTTCTCTTAAACTACTTTAGTCCCTCCAGGATTTATAAAACAACGCATTTTCACTATTTTTAGCTTTATCCTCCTGATCTTTCAGCAGCACTATCTACCTCCTGTCCAAGAATTTCTAGTGTTTTCCCAGAAAATTACTTCTAATACCCTAGTCTTATAATTCACAGTTTATTCACAGTAAATTGCTATACTGGTGGGCCTAAGGCAAGAATGACAAAGGATAAGAGGGGGTGCTGCCACTTTCCACAGTCCCTGCTTTATAGAAATTTCTAGAATTGAGAGATTTGGTCAACTGTTTCTTAGATATCTAAAGGTCAACCACAATCAACATAACGCAAAGACTTGTCCCAGTTGGTTTCACTCCTTTGCTTAATTCCAAGAAATATTTGAGGTCACTGATCAAACAAGCAGTCAGTAAGTAAAAGCAACTTAAAAGTTAGCCAAATTTAAATAAAATATTTCACCCATTCATTACGTTAAGAAAAGGAAACATTAAGCTAATGAAACAAAGAAACAAAAAAATTAAATCTCTATCAGCGCCAAATAGGAGAATAAAGAGGACAGGAGACAAAGACATACACAAGCAGACAGGGAAAAAAATCCACTGAGAAATCATGTTCCAAGATATAAATGAAAATCAAAAGACATAATGGAAGCTCCATGCAGGCAGGTATTTTCATGTATTTTTGTCCATGGATTTATTCCTAGTACCCAGAACTGTGCTGGAATACAGCACCAAAATTTTTTGAATAAATAATCAGAATAACAGCCTTGACTTAAGGGGTTTTTTTGAATTTTAAATATAAAAACTTATAAAAGCCATATTGTTAAGTTTGCATCTATAAACATAATATGCATACAATAATCTAGGAAAGACTGTGGACCCCTAGAGGCCCTGAGCCCTTTTTTGGGAGTCTGAAGTCAAAACTATTTTCATAAAAACACTGAGACATTATTTGCCTTTTTCAAAGGGTTGACTTTTGCAGGTGTTTAAGTGCTCCTGCCTCGCACAAATACTCTTTACCACCACAAACTTTTTTTTTTTAAGCCAGCCCTCACTCCTAAACTTCTAGACCTATACACGTAACCAATTATTAGGTATCACTGCTCAGTCTCAAACTCATCACAAACATGCCCAAGGCTGAGTTGATGGTCCTTTCCCTCAAACAGGGTTCTGTGCTAATGTTTTGTGGTTCAGTGAATGGTATCATCATCCATCCAGGAAGATGAACCTGAAACCAGAAGTTGTCCTTAAGATTCTCTCACTTATGTCCTTAAACCCAAACACTCATCAAGTCCCTGCTGATTTTACTTCCCAAATCGCTCTCCAGTTCGCACTGCCTCCCATCGTGAATGCCTTCAGTGGCTTCCCATTCAAACTCACATATATTTTTTAAAAAGTGTTTCACTTAAGAAGTTCTAGTATGTGCCACTAGCCAAATGATTTTGAGGACCCTCCCAATTCTTTCTTTTAAAAGAGCATTTTGATTTTAGGGGGAATTATACAGTCATTGTTTAATCCACTTGGTCAGGTAAGTCAGTTCCTTTTCATTAGCTCTCATAGCCTCCTGAACATCCTTTATCACAGGTGTAATTTATGTGATCCCTCACTAAACTATATGGTCTACAAGGGCAGGGACCATGTCTCTTTTGGCTCATTATTGTATCCTCAACACCTAGCACACTGCTGGGAATATAGTAAGTACTCAAATGTTTGTTCAGTGAAGGAAAAAAGATAATTAGTTCTCACTTTTTTCTTTGGAAAGTAGTAGAAAACTTGTAATTTTTTTCTTTGTAAGAATAATGGCCTCTAATAAGATTCATGGTAAAAGGAAATGGTATGTGTCCCTAATTTTCTCCAACTTCCATTACAAGACTGGAGATGGGCTCTGGGTCCACAATTACTTTTTTCCCACAAGCTTAAACCCCTAACTCAGATGGACTGATTCAACTTCATCAATAGAAAACAAGACAGGTAGGTGGCTTAACTTTCTAATGGGTCACAACACAGACTGCTGAGTACAAGAGAGAGGCTCCTTCCTTCAAGGAATGGTTCATGGCTGAGAATTACTAACAGAAAGGTTTGCATCACTAACAGGAATCCTTCCTTCTTTACAGGTTGGTTATATGATTATACCCAGACATACACCGGCTCCTTCTATTTCTCGGGCACATGTTATCTCCTCTCTTCAGTTTCCTTTTTCTTTGTACCACTGGCTGAGAGATGGAAAAAAAGTCTGACCAGAAAAAGAGGGGACTGCAATCAAGTGAGAGCTTAATAAAAGAAAATCTAAACCAAATGTCTAAACCATGTCACTGGAAAATCTAAACCAAAATCTAAACCATGTCACTGGAAACAAAAGCATGGAAGAAAAGTTCCCTCATTTGTAAAATGAGGTGAACCACATAGTTTTTAAGGTTCTTTTTTGCTTTAGCATTCTAAGGAAAGTCTGACTGCTGGTAAAACAAGTGTAACAGCAACTTAAATTAAGCCCTTTGTTAGTATTTAATCAAACAGGCTGAAATTTTAATCATCTGAAGCAGTTACTTTAGGTATTAAATGAAAATCAGAATGTACTGTAATAATAAAGTAACCAAACTCTCAATTGTGCCATGGTAATTCAGTCACTAAAATATGTGAAAATGGAAACCCATTGTGCTTAATTTAAAGCAGTATTAAACAGAGCCATTGGTTGAATAGAACTCTGGAATTTGAATGAATATTAAAAAATTGTTTAGTGACTGGAAAAGTATACACCCCCCAAATAGTTTATCTGTGCTTTTTAATTAGAGGTAATCTTTGCTTTCATTATTTTGTTTAAATTTTCTATCATAAATGTATTGCTATGTAATAAAAAATACAAACTACTAAAAAACTCAACAAACCTTTATTTCAAGATCATTTGTATAACTATTCCTACCCATCCAATGTTACTTTTTTTAATATATCTAATTAACTGAAGTGTCCAAGCTAAATAGCTAGACATCTCTTTAGAAATACAAGTTTTATATGAAAGTTGAATAAGTGGCTCTTAATGGGAGACAAACTAAAAGATGTTTCTTAAATATGGAATAATTATGTTAACTAACTAATAATATCTCTTACACTAAGCAATTACATGTGGATAGAGAGCCCTTCATTATCTGGGTGATTTTAAGGGGAAAAAAAGCTACCTACAGTTCTCTGCAATAACACCCTCCTCTAGAAACTCCTTCAGAATGGTCCTTAAAACTATTATTACTATTATGATTCCATTCTTCCATTCCTCTCTGCTTTAAAATGTCTATTGATTCCCTATAGAGAAAAATCCTAACCTGAAAGCCTGGTTTTAGCTCCAAAATGACATATCCACTCACTCCCTATGCATACGCCTTTTTGCAAGCTTTGCCACCAGCTACAATCCTAATGGCTTGCCTTTCTCCACCAGGCACAGTCTCACTTATCCTTCAAAATCTGATTCACTGAAGGCCTCTGGAAAACTTCCCCCAGCATTGTCATCCTCTCATCTGGAATCTCATTTAACTTTTAACAGAGCACTATATGAGCTGACATGTCAATCTTTTCCATCAGTCTCAAGATCAACAAGATGGATGATGTTTTTTATTCATCTTTCTATTCCCCAAGGCCCAGCATAAATTTTGGAACCAAATTAATCTGGGCTCAAATCTCAGTTATCTGAAAAACAGTAGTTGGTCCTATTTAAATTGTATAGGTATTACACTTAGTTGTAAATGTATGACATTCTTTTTACATTTCAGATTTAAGACAATATGAATAAAACAGAAACACTATCCCTCACACATACAAACAGCAAAAATAATTAATAATAAAAGTAGCTCTGCCACTTCTTACTATGTGACCTCATCAAAGGTATTCAACCTCTAAATCCCAATTTACTCCTCTGTAAAATGAGGACACCAGCAACCTACCTCACAACTATACTGTGAGGATTAAATGAAAAACACTTGTCCCAAGCGAAGTACCCCTCATACACAGTACTGCTAATTTCCTTTCTTCTTTCTGTATCAAAACACAAGATCTTTAAAAAATTAATAATTTACTAGGAACCACTCTCATCCATACCCCCTTCCCTTCTGAGCAGGTATTGTTCAAAGACTCTAACTACCTAGGGCAACTAGATTCTTTATTCCTGTGAAAGCAAACTATACATTTTAAGTAGGACCAACTAAAGATCTTCAAGTTCAGTTCTGATTTACATAGGCTTTATGAATCTTACACAACACAGCAGTTCTTAACCCCACTCAATGGTCACAGCTCCACTAAACCTGGGTAGTGTGGATCAAAAGAATTTGAATCTAGACTGCAGGAACATAACTAATGTATTCATTGTATTAACAATTAACTTACGATGTTTCTATTCATTTACTACTTCCCTCGAACAATATTACGTCAACACATTTCTAAGTAACCATAATTTAGACATACTATCTCAGACATATACAGGATTTCAAGAAAAGCAAATGAGTACACTGATTTTCTATGTCCTACCCCTTCAAGATATTCCATGGGACAAAGAGGAAACACAAAGTAGACCTGGGATATTATACAAGTATGTGTTTGGAGAAACAGGGTGGTGAATAATTTTATTTCAACATCCAATATACACTAGTCACTGAGGTAGGCACATTTTATATTCAATTTCATTTCATCTTCATAATCTTTAGAAGCAAAAACTATGATGCCTATTTTACAAATTAATAACTTACGGTCATAGAAATTAAACACCCAGTAAGTAGCAGAGTTACCATTCAAACACAACCTTACACAAAACCCTATGCTTTCCCCTTTAGATAACCCTGGCTTCTTGGCAGTACCATAAGATTATGAAGCTAATTTAACCGAAAGCAGTTATCTTGTAATAAATTTGTTCTAACTCAAATTGGCATAAAATTTTAGTATCTAGATTAAAATTAAAAGATCCAAATTACCTAAGAACCAAAACAAACAAATTAAAGCCACAAAACACATCTGCTACAACACATTAACAATGTGGTTGTTAAAGATAATGAACTTTTTTAGGTCTTCCAATAGTCACCAACCCCAAACCAACCAAAGAAAGTAATAATGCCTAAATATGCGCCACTTGTAATTCCTCAATACTAAAATATTAGTTGAAATGCTTATAAACTGTTGATAATATGAACCTTGATAATATGAACCTTGATAATATGAACATAATAGCTCAGTGTATATTTTCTTCTCAGCTACTTATGGAGTTACTTAAAACTATTAAGACACCATTTCTTGCTGCTCTTTACGAAAATTCCACACGTAAAAGAGGGGTTCATGAAATACTAAAACTCTACCTTATAATACTTTTATGTTTTTAAAGTTCTTTCCCACCTCTTATCTCATTAGCATCAAGTCAATACCGTGAGGAAGGTGGACAGGTATTATTATTCCTATTTTATACCTAAAGAACAAAAGAATGAACATCAAGTTATTTGCCTAAAGTCACAAAGCTAGTCCTCAACAAAGCCAATTCTGAAAACTAATTAACAATACTGATTAGATCATGGCCTCTGGCTTTTCTTTTTTAATGATTCTCTAAGAGTTTCAAATTTAATAAAAGCAACAATTATACTTAAATAGACAAATAACCTGTGATATTTTTCAAATAATCCAGGCATATTAACATGTGATGTTACGTTTGTTTGCAAAAAATTAGCTCCCTAGTAAGTAAACTTACCTAACTGTAAAATGTTTTTTCTATATGAGAGGGAAAAAAAACACACATCATGTATTAATATTTGATTTTAGATGTTATTTTTAAGAGAGACATAATCCAAACCTGGACAGTGGTTTCTCTGAAGACCCTGATATAAAATCAAACTCCAATACTTTTTTAAAAAAACCGTAAGTGTTTCTCTTAAAACAGAATCAACTTGTATGAGGCTTTATGTCTACGTATTTGCCTCATTTGGCTGCTCATTTACCACAAATATTTATCTAAATGTCTCACATTTATCACCCATGGTCTTAACACACACATACAAATGAAAAACAAGAAAAGTCCTTGGAATCACCTTTAAAATAAATCAGTTTAAAATTCATGTTTTATTTCTATGAGGGAGGCTGGCATTACCTAAGATCACTGAGACAAGTAAGAATCATTTCTATTAGAAACAAAAGAACCTACTCTCTGGTAAACAGCAACAGAAGCTAGTATCTTGTAAACTCTACTTCTAACCAAAGTGATCAATAATAACACAGTGAGGCTGTGGAAGGGATGCAGAGAATAAGACACCACAACCAATTATCTGGGTCTGCCTGGAAATCAGGGAGTTCCTGAGACTCCCAATTTTAACACCAGGACAAGTTGGCCACCCTTACTAAGAAGTAGAAAGCACATCTGGATGTCTGGCTATTTGACAGCATGTAGCCAAAAACTAAAGTTTTTTCCTAGCTACCTTTACCCAAAATCACAAATTCAATCTATTTTTACCTCATTCAAGCTCCAGTAAGCAAACAGAAATGAACAGGATACGCATTAGTACTTAAGGAAGGGAGGCATACATTTTTAATGAGAACCAACTTTTAGGCATTAACTGACCAAGGACTTGTGAAGTGAAATTTTAAAAAATGAATTCACTTCCTCTATTGAAAAATTTCCGACTTTCACTTGTATATTATTTTTACAGAACTGATGATTTGGGCCAAAATAAAGCCAAGATGCCCCACTCTTTGGATTGTGTCAACCAACATTAGTGTTCCTTTAGCAAGGAAAAGAGAAGTCTATCCCTTAAGAATAGTATGTCAGGACCAAGGAAATGAAAGATAAGTTCGTAAAGAACAAGAGCTAATATTGCCTTCCTTCAATATCTCAAAGCTAGTCAGAGTTTAGCATAAATTATTTACATATACCAACCTGTGGATCAGAGGCGTTTATCACTCTTGATTAAACCATTTCAAGCCTAAATACCCAGCTGTGCAGCACAGTCCTCTGAAGCCATAGCAATAAGATGACTCACCAACTGGCAGGTATCTTAGGTTCTACAAATAATGGATGTCTGCCTGGATGAGAACTTATGTATGTGCCCAACAGACGACCTCATCCTGCTTGGCTAAGAGAGGAGAGAAGCTAAACAACTGGTCAGTAATACAGCACTTGCTATAAAATGTAAAGAATCAGACTTTGCCCCAGAGAAGAGACTTAAAATTCATGCAGACTTTTAAACTGTCCTCTGTACATATTTTATATGCCAATTTTCACTTACCAGAAAGGTACAACAGAGTAAGATCTAAGAGGATAAAAACCAATTTTTATCATCCCCAAATTACATATAACTGAAAGAATCATCGTACTGAGTTCACCACTTCAAGAAATGTGAAGTCAGGGTCATGAGAAAAATAAATCCATATTTAAACCCTCCTATTACATTTAATGACTTGATGTCAGTTTCCACTTAAGTAAAAACCAGTAGTTCATATATGAGTTCTAGTTCACTAACGTACATATCCTTATGTGAAAACTGATACCATG